AGAAAGAAAGAAAGAAAGAAAGAAAGAAAGAAAGAAAGAAAGAAAGCCGCAAGATGGCTCAGAAGGTTAAGGTGATTGCCACAAAGCTTGACAACCTGAGTTCAATTCTCAGGACCCTCATTGTAGGAGAGGACAAACTCTAGAGAGGTGGCCTCTGATCTCACTCATATATAAGGTAAATCATTTAAAAGTTATAACAATCAACCTCTGCCCTTAAATCTTAAAATGTACTCACAGCCACAAGATATCTGTGAATGGTCCTTGTGAATTAATCACCAGAGAGCACCCTATTCAGAGTATAGTGTGGGCAGGACTGTGTGATTTATAAATGGCAGAGAATGCCAAGTTTGGCCCAGGTGTGTCAGCTCTCCATAGTTCTTTGATTTCCCCTCTGATGATTCTCCTACTGTATCATAGATCATAGATCACAGTCACCTGGAGAGCTAAAAATCTCAGCTTTCTGATTGACAGGCTAGAGCTGTAAACCTACATCTGTCAGGCTTTCTGCTACTGTAACCTAATATCATAACCTCTGTACTTGTCTAGTTTCTCAGTATGTGAACACCAGAACAAGAATTGTCTTGCTTTCCAGGTTCTAGTTCCATTTGTTCCTTAATAAATTTGTGAATATTTAATTTGAAAATAAAACAATAGGTAATAATAAATTTAACATAGTCCTATTTTTCACCCTGATTTTTTAAAGATTTATTTTTACGTAGATTGGATTTTTGCCTGCATGTATGTCTGTGTGAGGATGCCAGATACCCTGGAACTGGAGTTACAGACATTGTGAACTGCCATGCCACCCTGATTATTTTTTTTTAAGTTTCTCTTAAAATATAGGAAACTGTCAGAAGTATTCCCCAATCCCCATGGCTACAATTGGTTGGCAGTGATGGTATTGGCTATTAGATCACAATCCCTTGTACACTGTTTGTGTTACATCTGCACCCCAGGTCAAACCCATGACTTCTTTCAGAGTTCTAGGAGGTTAGACTTTTGAAGGAAGCGGGGGAAATGTCAGGGATAATTTTGTGCTTCCTCAGTTTTATGTTGCAACACACTCTTACTGGGGTGTTAGTATAGAAGCCTGATGATTTTCATAGAGGTCTGGGAAATCCTAGAGGAGAAGCACTTTGCATCTTGCAATAATGCCCATCCATTATATAAAGTGAATGAGGTATGTGGTAGCCAGATGAGCAGCTGGCCAATGCCAAGGGGCTGGAATGGCTGATTATGGAGCATTAGAAATGGGAGAGGTGTTTGGGATCTTGGGATACCAGGAAGAGTATCCATTCATTTGATTACCCTCTTTAAGTAGGTTCTCCAATGAGCCACCCTTGGTGGTAAGTATTCAAGCTCCACTTGACAAGCTAAAATAGGGATTAAGAAATTTGCCCAACTGAAGTTGGAATTTAAATCCATAATTATCTTACTCCAGGACCCATGCTTTTTGTTAGGTCTCAAACTCACATTTCTTTGACACCTAGGGCTTTTAATCAATCATAACACCACAGCAAAGGCATGGGGAGGCAGAAGACATTCTAACACAGCCAAAAGCTAGGGAACAGTAAGTCTGTTTTTCTGTTTTCTGGCAATTGAATGTGGTGCTCATGCAGGGCCTGCCAAGGACACCTCTGTTTGGGAACACTAGAAAAAGCCAGCAGAGCTGGGCCATTCCCCAGTCTTTGTGTCATGTTAAAGAACTTAGATCTGTTTACTGAGACTTTAGCAGAATTCACTGGAGTATATTTTGTCAGCTGCAAGAAAATATCTCCAGTGCTGTTTTGGTACATGGATACATTCTCAGAGAAGCAGAGGAGGCTGGGAATAGTGCTAGAGAAAGGACTCTGTCTGACAAGGCAGAGGGTTGTAATATTCCTTGTTTGTCATTTCACCAGTGAGTGGGGAAGAGCATGAGAAGACTACTGTGTACTGAGGCAGTCTGAGCAGTTCCAAAGTCTTCCCTCACCTCCATGCCCACAGTCCCTTCTCTGAAAGACCCTTGTTTGTGTCATAGAACATCATTCTGCCTTACCCAGAAGGCCAGATTCCCTACAAAAACAGCCATCTAGCTGGACATGAGGGAGAGGTTGAAACCAGCTTACCCAATGCAGGAAGTGTGTCCAGAGTGGGGGGAAAAATTCAATTCCACTCTTAGGACATCAAGACCAGTCAAATGGGAAGACAGCAATAGAAGTGGAGAGGTATATGCCAAGTCAGCATTTGGTAAGATTACAACAGTGGAAAATGCTTTTTGTCAGATGAATCAAGGAGCTAATATGGCCAGCAACTAACAGCACACATTGAGATTCCATGTGGGTTCAGATTCCTTGTGGGTTCAGACCCTGCCAGATGGTGAGTGGTTACTATTTTATCATAGTCTGAAAGACTAAAAACTATATCCCACTGTCCCAGCACACCTGCAAGAGTGGCTGCTGAGACATTCCCAAGTACTTTCTTCTTAAAGCCATACAGTAAGCTCCTCTGTTCCTGTCCCATAAGTATTAAAGAGGCTCACATTGTAAGCTTAAAATGAGAACAAGGCTGCATTGAAAGACAGAGCAAAGGAGACAGCACAAAGCTTATCATTAAAATTTTTCTTTTTAACACAGGTTAAACCCAATGTTTGTTAAATGAATCAAGAACATGTTGTGTTTTTTCACCAGCCTTTGAAGCTGACATCAAGGACAACAATCTACAGCCTTCTCTATATCCTTGAGTTTTTCTGCCAATGACAATTTTGGGCCTAATGAGCCATGGTTATGATGAGAAATGACAAATTTTGTTCCTATGTAGTTAAACACTTAAGCCATCATTTTTCAAAACACTAAAACCCTTTGGAGCTTGAAAGA